GCAGACAAGGGGGGGGAGGGGGGGGGGGGGGGGAAGGATAATGGTTCAAAATCTTAGCAACCAAAATTAACATCCACATGTACTAGCCCAGAAATGTGGAAAACAGTACCCAAAGAGGAGAGAGAGAGAGAGAGAGAGAGAGAGAGAGAGAGAGAGAGAGAGAGAGAAGAGGGCCTAGTAAAGTTGAGAGCTTTAGGTGGGTGCAACTTCCCCAGGATTGGGCGATAACTGCAAGACAAAAAACCAAAGCACTAGGAAAAGCAATATAAATTGTATACAAAAACACCACGTAACATTATATACCCCTCTCTGAGTAACTAAAACCTCTTCAGTCTCTAAAATATCACCATGATACTTTTCGAACTCCTGCGCTTCTTTCTTTAGATTTGCAGCTTTGTTCGCGACATCTCCGAGCCTGTTAAGCACCCGTGCCTGTTCCTTAGCCACGGTTTCTTGTTCTTTCAAGATCATGGCTTGATTTCCAGCCAAAGTCTTCAAACTCTGCGTGGCCCTTGTTAGTGCTAGATACTCGATTTCAGCTTCGATCCTTTGCTTAAACAAGCTCTCAATATCATTCTCTGTCTCTTTATGTTTCTTCTCCTCTAAATCTATTGCGCTACCCGATTCTTCTTTTGGAGACTTTATACTTTTTATGGTGGCCTCGAGTTCGGTAACCTTAGACTCCTTCGCCACAAGTATAGCCCTTGCCTCTCCCAGTTCAGTTTCCAATACATTCACATTCTCTTCCAAGCTTGATACCTTAGCCTGCAAGGAACTCACAACTGTTTGCATGGTTTTGTCAGAACCCAACTGGTTGGACTGGTTAGGTTCTTGAGTTCCCAGTTCGGTGAAATCAGCAGACACACTACTATTCTCCATCAGCTTGTCGAGCGATGCTATAGGTTCCTTCCCAATTTGTCCTAATTCCTGAACTTCTGCAAGAGGACACAGAGGATAACAATTGTTGTTCTGAACATTAACACAACTTGTCCGGTAATAAAAAGCTTTACCACAAAAAGCAAGCATCTTGAGCTTGAACTTTATCCAAAAAATAATTCAGAAATAAGGGAAGATTTTACATCAAGTTACTTGATGAGTTTGTACGTTTCCTTGTAATAATACAAAGAATAAGGGTAGTGTGCTTAGAAACAAGTTTCTAGTTTGTGAAGTTTCATTGTCATTGGACCATTACCATTCTCTCACACAGGCCTGAAGAAATATAGCTAGTTAAAGAAAGAGGAGAAAGTGATTCAAACAAATTGTTGCTATTCTAACAATGTAATTGTGAAAAATAACCAAATGAAGAAAAGCATAAATACATTTGTTGCTATTCTGGATCCCGCAGTAAAGCATTCAAGCGAGACCAAAATAATGATAATCAAAATAATAACTATCTCATAGTTGTTACATAAGACTGAAGTTGTTAGGGCGAACAATGACTAACCTCTTTCAAGTGCTTCTTGTACAGATTGGAGGCTAAGGATAGAATCAGCCAGTGGATCCCGGTTCGTCAAAGATTCTTCCTTGATTCCCCAAGATACATCCGCAGCTGAATCACCTTGTGAATCTTCAACATCACCCACATTCTCTTTGCTATAACCAGTTTGAACCTCCTCACTAAACTGTTGTTCACTTTCATGAGCTTCATCACTATTCTCCTCGTCATAACTCAGGGACCTCCTTCCGGTCTGCTTTCCGTTACTAGTCACATTTGTACTCTGCATAAAGAAAACATTGGAGCTTCTCGAGTCCGATTCTACGCTGGAGTAAGAGTTTTCCTTCTCGATTTTGACCCTCTCTCCTCGAGCCTTCTTACTGCTCTCCACCTTTCCTCCCTTTCCCAGCGGAACTCTCTGAGACGAAGAATTCCCAAAACTCTTTCCAACCCCACTCTTCGCCTTGTTCTTATCCCGCATATGCCCCATCATCGCAGGCAGGTCCAACCTCGCCTTAGGAGCGCTTGCAGCCGTTGAGGACTTGCTACTTCGATCCTCGCTGTTCTCGGAATCCGTCCCGGCTGCAAAAACAGATCCCACAGCATTCCTAGAGTCAGAACCGGACCCACGAATCGTGAATCCATCAACGGCCCCGACATTGATGTCAAGACCTGAATGCTGAGTCTTAATAGGGTTTGCATTACTAGGCAAGACCCTCTTCAACATTTTACTAGAATCATTATCAACTAGAGTGGCAACAGAATCCTTGAAAAAATCTCGCCTAATTCGCCGCCACTTCTTCAATCCAAAACCTTTGGTTGTCGCAGGCGAGACCCCACCAGGCGATTTCGATTCGGAAGGATTCGAATTCGCCGGCTGTGGCGGGCTGTCCACATCCTCTGGCCAGTTATCTCCTAAATTTTCAGAGGAACCCAATCTATCAACAACCTCTTTAGCACAAGACCCGTTATTCCTAATCCCATTATGATGATCAGGAGAGACTTTTCCTGGTCCTAATTGATCGTCTTGTGTGGAATTGGATTTGAGAGATAAACATTCACTTTCCAAATCCATAACAAAACAAAACAAAAATTCCAGGGTCCCTCTCTCTCTCTCTCTCTCTCTCTCTCTCTCTCTCTCTCTCTCTCTCTCGATCAAGAGCAACAAAAACTACGTATCATTCCAGTTCATGGCTCAAAATCTAGCAAAAAAATCCCAAATGAATCCAAAATCAAATCCCGATCAAAGTTCGAATCTTGTTAATCAATTTGGATCGAAAAACAGAAACAATATCATGAATTAACGGAATCGAATTATCAAAGAATTGCGAAATCGAAGAATAAACGGATCAAAGTAGAAAAAAAAAAACCTCGATTCAGAAATAAGAGAAACAAACAGTAGAATCAAACAAATATATGTACATAAATATATATATATAAAAACTGGAATCGAATAATGAAAGAAATGGTGAAAATCTAAATGAATTAATTAATCAGAAGAAGAAGAAGAAGAAGAAGAGAGAAATTGATGCGTACCGAAGAAGATTAAAGAAGGAGAAATTAAGGAAATGAAAGGACATGGAAACCCTAAACAGGAGCTGGATTGGGATTTTTATAGGCTGTGAAAGATGGATGAGAAAATAAATAACTTTAATTAAATTCGCATTTATTTTACGATCAACTATTTATTAGTCTCCTCTCTTTGTATAAGTTCAGTAATTATTATTCATCGTTTATTAAAAGAAGAAGTAATTACTAATACGAAATTATCCAAATAAAAAAGGGAAAGGAAAGGAAAGTGGGCCCACGAAACACCGACGGCCAAGTGGGCACCGCTGGCCACAGGATCAAATCACGATGATCTAATCTAATCAATCTCTTTACACCTACGCCACACATCAAACATAGGAATTGGTCCTCTATTCCCTCCTCATTTTACGCTTTTGACCCTCTATTATCTCTCTCTATTATTTCTTCCTTTTCATTTTGGCAGAATTCTATAGTACACTCAAAAAATAAACAATCAAAAGACCCTATTTTCAACTCTTAAATTTATCTCATAATTTATCTGTTCAATATATTCTTTAATTTATTGCTATTTTGATTAGATTCCGATTAGATTCAACAAATTAAAAATTAACTTTACTGATAATAAAATCCTACGGATGAAGCTAAGAATTTTAATTAGGGAGATTTATCAGTAGTGGAGTAAAAATAAATAAATAAAGTGAGGCCGAGAAAAAGTAATAATAGCTTTTCACCAAATAGAGATATAATAAATGTTGTAATTATTCAATTACAACACAATTATAAATTTTACTATATAATAAATGGCGCGAGTCAAAATTTCATAAGTATTTTTAGAAAAAATTTTATTATATACCAGTAACATTCGACGTTTCGGGGGGAAAAAAAAAATAGAGTCTTCAACTTTTAGGGAGGTTATCGAAATATTTGGTATAAATGAAATGTATAAAATTGCAAATTAAAAAAATAATAAGCCCCACTTGGTGATGCGATGCAATGGCTTCGTCCCTGTTTACTTGAGGTTTAAAAATTTTTCTAGTGAATAAAATAAGTTTGAATAAAGATGTTTTTATAAGTTCTAATTATTAAATGGGGTCCTATCTTAAATTTTAGAAAACGTTTAATTATGTACAAAAATTATAAAATTTGAGTGGGGTATCTGCCGGTCCCTTAAGTGGTTTTGCCATTGCTATAAATAGATGTGTGATTAATGGTAAAGGTGGAAACCTTTTTTAAGCGGGGATGCAATATAAAAACACATGAAAGATGAACTTTTATTTATTAGTTTTGAGATTTTATTGTTGAGCTGAGCGAGGACACATGCCCCCACTCACATAGTTATGTAGTTACAACAACGTGTATTTGCTCGAGTATTTTCTGAAGGACTAGCTAGTTCTACATACCAAACATAAAAGTAAGTCGTTGGGTATTTATTTTATTTAACAAATTACAAAGTTTTGTTTCATAAAAACAATCATTTTGAAAGAAGTATAATGTTGATATAGAATAAATTAGTATCTTATTATTAGCATAACAATAATGTTAGAAGAAACTTACTATTATGATAAAAGGAGAAACAATTAATTCTCTCCATTATTATACACTTTCTTAGTGACCCAAAACGACTTAGGTGTAGCATAAGAAGGAACATGGTAGTAATGTGAGGCCCTTTTGAAATATATACTTAAACTATAATTCTTAATTTTAATATTTTAAATTTAAACTTTTAATAAAAAAAAAAATAATACAACAGAATTAATAATTTAAATTTGAGTATATAAAATAAACGGGTCTCAAATGTTTCGTATAAGTGGGATCATCTCTAAACATGGGCCTTTCTTTTTGCACCGGTCCTTTTTGAACTGTTATGGAGTTAATCAGGCTGCATACAAATTTTTTTTTTTTTTTTTTTTTTCAAAAAATGTATTACTTTTATTAACGAAGAGCAGTCAGCAGAGCAATCCAAAATTACAAACATGGCAACAAAATGAGGCATAAAATTTAATCACACCACACAAAATCACAGGTTTAGGAAATAGCAAAATTTGCTAAACAGTGGGCTACGCTATTTACCAATTCGGGAGACGTAGCTGACATCGTCACTGCACACTTCTGAAATAAGCTCTTTGATATTCTCATTATTTTACAGATTTAAATTTTTAATTTTAAATTTTTACAGTTAAAAATTCTTAAAAAATATCACATCTAACTATTTTTATTACAATTAAAAATTCTCAAAAAATATCATATCTTAACTCGAATTAAAAATTTAAATTTATGAAGCGAATGAGGCCTCAATAACCGAGGATTTCGTGCTGGTAAAGCTGCGGTTTATATAGCATGCACTAGATTAGCTGCATCCAACTTAAGAACTCATCTGTCATTTTATTGCTTTCTTTGATTCACATCACTTTCAAGCCGTATAAAGTCTATACTACTCTTTATTTATATCTAAATTCTGAACCTTAACTAATCTCACACTATGAACCCTAATTAAGAATCAGCTCCAATTCAAAAATAAGTATTCACCGTCGTCTCCCACCATAGCCGACGCAGTCGAGTCAACAGACAGCTAACCAAGTCGAAAATGCAAATTTGCTACCCATCCACATCATACTTGCGGAATCTACTGAGCCCCAATAAGAGTATATTTAGCAATTTTTTTGAACGTGTGTAATTTACATGTGATATAATAAGTATTCATATTAGTTGTTTCAACAGCAAGTATTAACATTAATATTAATATTACCTTACTGTATTTCCATAAATTCAGATTATATTTCTAAATTAGGTTTAATTGTATGGGAACGGGAGAAGACTTAGCTTTATTTGCTTATACATCAACATCTTGAAATTTTGATAGGCATTTTCATTCCTTTTAGGTTACTTTTATGGTGTAATTTATGCATTCCAAGTCTACTCAAGATATAAAAAGAAGAAAGTGTATTGCTATTATAGTCTATTAAATTCTTAAACGGTGTTACCCCCTTAATATTGTACACATTATACTTATCTCATTTGTACCAAAATGAATTATGATTACATTTGAAGTTCTCGCCTCTCCAATTTCAAAGAGTAAAATATTCATGATTCCAGGTTTCTACTTCAAATTAATCTTTTACATTGAGCTGGCAGCAGGTTTATAATTTACGGTGCTATATATATAATTATATATATATATATATACACACACACAATGTGGCTCTCTATTATTGATGCAACTCATATTGTGAGAGTACATATATATATATATATATATATATATGGGTCCAGGCAGATTGATCCATTTTTCTGACGACCCACATGCATTTACTACAAAAATGCAGTAGCATATAAATCAATATATATATATATATATATCTATATTCATATAGAGATCACAGATGGCGCGTTATTGACAAATATGGTCAGCCTTGTATTGATTGTGCTTGTGGAAACAGGCAGACATGGCTTATATATATCCTACGCTTATCTACTTCTGCATGTTCACCTTAGATATTGTACTTATAATTAATGTCTTTCATTTTTCTTCTTGTTCTTCTCTCTCTTTTTTTTTTTTTTTTTTTTTTTTTTTTTTTTTTAACGAATGATATAGATCCATATAGCTTTCAAGGGAACCAAAGTTTCCACCGCCCTTTAATTTTTCTTCTTTTACAAAACTAGTAACTAGTAATATACCGTCCTCTATATGTATAAATTAAGGACCAATGTTGAGCTAATGAGAAATAAATATTATATAGGGAGAAAGAGAGAAATAGGCCAAGACTTGAGATGAATTAAAATTAATAGACCAATAATTTACATAAGTTAATAAATAGGCCAAATTACTATTTTTGTCAATAACTTGTCTAGTTATGAACTATAACTTGACAAATTATTGTCTATAATTCACAGTTTTTGTCCATAACTTGTCTGGTTATGAACCATAACTTGACAAGTTTGTCCATAACTTATCTGGTTATGAACCATAACTTGACAAGTTATGACCTATTAATTTCTATAATTAAAAATTAGTCTATATACTTTCTTAAATTTTTCATATTGACATATTTTCTACTATTTCGGTATTATATATGATGTTTCTTTTTCAGTCACAATATAATGTATTTACATCTACATCTATTAATATTATTAACTTATTATATAGGTATCTATATGAATATTAATGCATGAGTGAAATTCTATATATCATGTTGTTATGCATGCATATATATACCAATTGAGTATATATAATTAGGTCTCAATTTAACATTTCAATATTTATACTAATTGAGTAGTACGTGAGTCGTCATTTTTTTTATTATTTAATGTTAAAAAAATATTACATCAATTGATTTTAAAAGGTTGCACGTACTAAAATGATAATTCACTTGTTTTGTGAATTGCTATTATATATATATATATATATGTGTGTGTGTGTATGTAATATATATATATATATATATATATATATATGATACTTGATGTTTATCTGACATGTGTGTGTCTTAGGCTATCGTAATATAAGATGCATGTTGTAACTAATGTTATCGTTAAAATATGTATGTATATATATATATAGCCCGTTTCGATAGTGCAATGTTGTACGTGTCTTCTGCTTAATTCTTTGCCGGTGGTGATATATGCATTGCCACTTGCTTATTGTGGAGCTCCCACTTGTAAAATCGCAACAACTTAATTTAAAAAAAAAAGATTTACAACTAATTTTCCTTTAGTGATGATCAATGTCATAATCCGCTGTTATATTATGAGATCAATGAACTTATCTCCTTCTAATTAACTTTACTGATCAGAAAAACACTTTGTTTCCATACAGGAACATGATGTATGCTTAATGTCTAGTGGGGTAAGCTCATATTTTTGCCTTGAGTATTTTCTGGTCTAGCTTTCATCTTGTATTATTATATAGCCTAACGAGCTTTTAAATGGAGATTCTCGAGTGCATATATACATATACATATATATATATATATATATGTGTGTGTGTGTGTGTGTGTGAATGTGTATATATGAATAAAACACAATTTAAATGAAAGAACCGTCGAAATTCGTCTAACAAATAAATCTATCACGATCACTTCACCATAAATCAACTCACGTATTATTTCGTGGTTGATGAAATGCACGTAAGCGTTGAAACGATCGAGCTCTTTCTTTTCTCGATTTCTTGCCTTATACCGTCCTAAATGCTTAGCTTAGTGAGCTATGATCAATATTAAGCTTTAAACCGTCAAAATTTACATTGAAATCGTATTAAATTATGTAAATTTAACGGAGGTTGATGTATTTTGATAGTATAAAACTGTACATAATACCTTATTAAGAAATCTCTTTCTGTCGATAGAATATATTAGGAGATATTTAGTAAGAGGATTTATACTATGATTTAAATTATGATTTATAGTTTGCTATAATATTTTCTCTCATAAAAATACACGTAAATCGAAAATGATTCTGATATATGAACTAAACGTTTCCTTAGTTTTATACCTTATCCGGAATTCTCCTTCCACATTATATATGTATTGTCTTTTCTAATATCATAATAAGGAATCCGTCCATGACAATAGAAGCTGTAAAATGACTGTAAAGATAGATAGAGATCACATTTTGCTTACTTTATAATTTTAATATGATTTTCAATTGAAGTGGCCTTTTAGCCATTGATCACTTAATTAATTAAACAAGGTGTAAACTAATTGAATCCGGCTGTGTAATACTTAGTGGGCCTTAAGATAGGATAATAATGACAGACAACTCAAACAAACAATAGAATATAATTTTCATTTTCTTTTTCTTTTTCAATTACAAAAGTTAACTACTGGTCCAAAGCCAAAAGATCATGGCTAAGACGTTATTATTATATAAATAAATGAGAAGGGCTTTCCAGATTGACCCAATCATCACAAACCAAAAAGTTTAGTAATGAGGGGGTAAAAAAGAGAATAAAAAGGCAACTGGGTGTTTATTAGAATTCAAATAAGTTGATTTGATTTTGCTTGGCTGGGCTGCGTTAGAAGCATAAAGCATTCACTCCGTCTTACCCTTATCATTTGAAACAGATAATAAACAGGATATTAATACAGCGCAGCTTCTGTTTCAAAATCAAAATTAAAATTGTTTTTGTCATTGTGTGGACAAATGTGAGCTTCTAATTTAATCCATTTAGGAAAATAAATATTTTTATATCATGACATGATAAGATAATATTTCATAAAAGATACCTTTCAGCTTTTACAAATTCAAGGAAAAATAATATGTGTAATACTATTAGATTAATAGGTTTTTTTTTATTTTTTTATTTTTTGCTAAGATACCATTATATTAATAGTTGGTCGTGAGTGGACTGGTCTATACTCCAATTTCCAATGTAAATATTTCCAAATTGTGTCAGACAAAAAAAAACCTGCAATTTTTCCAAATTTATAAGTGGGTAAATTAAAATTTGAAGAAGTAGTGGTACTTGGTTGGAGTTTGTAAACCCATGAATGAACATTGAACTCTAATGCCAATGCAAACAACAAGGTCTGAAGTCTGAATTTGATCACAGTTCCCAATGTCCTTTTTTCTGACCAAAACCTTTGGCTTCTCTGACCGTAAGAAAACACCCATGTTAGATTAGGACTGGATTTGTAGAAGACTTAATTGTACATTTACTCATATATGATGTATATTTACACTCAAGATATGAATTATCCGAAAGGTTTTGTTTTCAGTAATTTAATATGTATAAAAAATTGTTTATTTTATATTTTTTTTATTTTGATGTGTTTTTATCAGATTCGATTATCTGTAGTCTTATTAGTACGGCTTTCCCACTGAAAAAATACACTATTTATTATTGCTTTGAAGAAGATTTTTACGACAAAAAAAAGAAAAACACTTCTTTTCATTTCACGGTAGAACTTGAAAAAGCACACTATCAGTATCAATCATGCTCTATGTTATAACTGTCATATTATAAACGATGAAAGAGATAAATTATGTTCATTTCACTTGATTTAAATTTGAAATTTAAATTTTATTATGATAAAAGATTTTTAAAAATAATTGTATTTTATTTTTTATAAAATTACGTTTAAATTTAAATTAACAAACTTAATTTTGTTCAGATCTAAAAATAAAAAATAGATCGGGGAAACCCCATTTTGAAAGACATGTTAACGTGTGTAGTGTGTACAACACATAAAACAAAAAGAAATAGCCACAACTACATAGAAAGGCGTATGCATGTTATTATAATAATATTAGCTCCACCATTAATTAAGCCAGTGCAAGGCTGAAACATCTTTTTAAGCAAAATTTCTGTGAATATTTTATTTTAATGTTCAAAACTCAAAACCTTATTATTAGATCCATCCATATTCCAACCCCATGCTATGCATCAGATTCCCATCTTCTCAAACAGCAGCTTTCGTCAAACACACAGAAAACGGAGAAGAACAAGAAGAAGAAAAATGGTGTTCTCACAAGAAGAAAATGAAAATAAAAGGTAAAAGATCCATTTGAATCACTCGTGTATAAACCACTTTTTGTTACCAATAAAAACAAGCAGTAATATTACACACATATACTCCATTATTTATAACCAGAGGATATAAACACGAATCATCTCTCTCAATCTCATCTTTTGATTTACGTAGTGCTGGTCAAATCCAACTTCCAAAACTTGTGAGAAAAATAAGATTGGCCCCACAAAATAGCTAATATTACATCAGATGTTCAGATTTTTCCTTCTCTTATTTCTTCTCGTTACTGTTTGAAGGCCTTTGCTTCCACTGTTGCATTCATATTTCTGACAAAACTCTTTCGTCACATTCATTGTGTGTGTATACATATATATATATATATATATATATAATATTTCATTTTTATCTTTCACAGTGCATAATAATCTGAACCATAAGAAGAGCAAGAAGAGAAGTGAAAGAGAGATCTACAAAAATATAATATAGCAGCAGCCATGGATGAAGAAGCAACAATGTCTAGTAGAGGCCTCAAAATCAAAGTCACCACTTCTTCTTCAACTTCAAGTTCCATAAACGACGACAACAAAAATCCAGACATGAAGAACTCAACAGATCAAGAAGAAGTACCATCTCCGTACAACTCACCGTCCTTAATCTCCCCACCTTCCTCCGCCTTCGTCTCCGCCCTCCAATCTCCCTACATCTCTCCCAGGGCCCACCTTTCACCTCCGCCGGACAACCCCCGCCCTTCATCACCACCGCTCGTCTCATCAGACGACATCCCCAGCTCCTCCTACACTCCGCCGTCCGATCCCTACGAGTTCGCCGCCGCGGCCACCGATGCCTGGGGGGGCCCCCCCAGAATCTCCTTCTCTTCCCCTCCGGTCCCACCCAGAATCTCCTTCGCCAAATGCTCCACTCCTTCCGCCGCCACCAACAACGTCAAGCTCAGGAGCTGCGACGTCTATGTCGGATTTCATGGGCAGAATGGTAATTTGGTCAGGTTCTGTAAGTGGCTGAAGTCGGAGCTTGAGCTTCAGGGAATTGCTTGCTTTGTTGCTGATAGGGCCAAGTATGGAGATTCTCAGAGCCATGAGATTGCTGATAGGGTAATCTGCTCGGTTACTTACGGTGTTGTGGTGGTAACCCGGAGTAGTTTCTTCAATCATTCGAGTGTTGAAGAGATGAGATTCTTTTCTCAGAAGAAGAATTTGATTCCGATATTCTTCGAAAACGTGGGGCCCGGGGAGATTGTGTTGGATAAGGAAGGGAGAGAGGCCATGGATGGGGTTTCGAGATGCCAGGAGGCTAAGCTGGAGGCGAGTGGGGGGAACTGGAGGGGTTGCATTGCGAGGGCGGCGGCGATTCTGCGGTCGAAGCTGAGCGTGGCGGAGTCGGAGGTGGAATTGGGGTCTTGTTTGGAGGAGTTGCCGTTTCCGAGGAATTGGTTTTTTGTTGGGAGGGAGAAGGAGTTGGCCGAGATGGAGGCCGCATTTTTCGGAGGAGAATGTTGTTGTTCTTTGCAGGGTGGTAAAGGCGGCGGTGGCGGCAGCGGCCAATCGGAAGGCCTGGCGGACGAGGAGTCCGATGTGGGCCCCACCAAATTAGGAGGGGGTAGTAAGTTTATTAGTTTGGAATTGGGGAAGTGCAAGGAGAATGGTAATGGCATTGGTGGTGGTAAGAGGTCTTCTAAGTACAAGAAGTGTAAAAGTGGGAATTACAAGAACTTGGGAAATATTACTAGTAGCAGTAATAGTAATACTAGTGTGATTTGCATAAATGGGATTCCTGGCATTGGAAAGACAGAGCTTGCCTTGGAATTTGCTTATAGGTATTCTCAACGATACAAGATGGTTTTGTGGATTGGTGGTGAAGCAAGGTATTTGAGGCAAGACATACTCAATCTGTCCATGAATCTGGGATTGGATGTTAGTGCCGATCCCGAGAAGGATCGGGGCAGGATTCGGAGCTTTGAGGAGCAAGAACTCGAGGCGTTTAAGCGGGTCAAGAGGGAGCTGTTCCGGGACATGCCTTATTTGTTGATCGTTGATAATCTTGAGAGTGAGAGGGAGTGGTGGGAGGGGAAAGACTTGCATGATTTGATTCCAAGGAACACTGGAGGGACTCATGTCATTATCACTACTAGATTGTCTAAAGTCATGAACTTTGAGGCAATGCAGCTTCCGCCGTTGCCCGCCGCGGACGCTATGGTTTTGATTAGAGGGAGGAGGAGGAAGGATTACCCGGCTGAGGAAACGGAGTTTCTCAAGAAATTTGATGAGAAATTGGGGAGATTGAGCTTTGGCTTGTGGCTTGTTGGGTCCTTACTTTCCGAGCTTGGGATCACCCCTTCCGCTTTGTTTGAATCCATCAACCGGGTCCAAATCGACGAGGTTTCTCCGTGCTCATTTATCACCATCGATGAAGAACAATACTGCGAGAAAAATCCTTTCCTTATGAAAGTCTTGTCCTTTTGCTTCGCGGTGTTGCAACAAGAAACTAGTAGCGGAAGAAGAGCAAACAGGCTAGCCGCAAGAATGCTGCTCGTTGGTGCTTGGTTTGCCCCATCGCCAATCACCGCGACATTGCTGGGCGCAGCAGCTGATAATATGTCTGCTGCAGCCGGAAGCCAGTTTAGGAAGTGGACCAGACTATGCCTGAGCGCGGCGTCTTTTATTACTTGCTGCTCAGGTTGTTTAGCAGCACAAAAATGGAAGAGCGAAGAAGATTCCACGCTTCTTTTAATTAAATTAGGACTAGCGCGCCGAGCCAACAACAAGCAGGCTGCCGCCACAGGGTGTTGGATCCAATTCCATCCCATAACTCAGGTTTTCGCAAAAAGAGGCCAAAGCTTGCAAGCTGCAAAGGGCACAGTTGAAGGCATTAGGAAAATTGGCAACCCTGTGGTGAACTCGGACCATCTGTGGGCCTCTGCATTCCTCGTGTTCGGGTTCAAATCGGAGCCCCCGCTAGTCCAACTAAAGGCGATTGACATGGTCTTGTACATTAGAAGGACGGCTCTTCCGCTGGCAATAAGGGCTTTCGCGACATTTTCTAGGTGCAACTCGGCGTTAGAACTTCTGAAAGTGTGCACTAATGTGCTGGAGGAAGTAGAGAAGTCTTTCGTGTCGCAAATACAAGATTGGTGCCATGGATCGTTGTGTTGGAAGAAGAATCGGGTGAAGGGGGGCGGGGGTCAGAGGGTGGATGAGTACGTGTGGCAAGACGTGACGCTATTGAAGGCGACGCTGCTGGAGACGAGGGCGAAATTGTTGCTCAGAGGCGGGCACTTCGACAGCGGGGAAGAGCTTTGCAGAACTTGTATTAGTATTAGGACTGTGATGCTGGGGCATAACCATGCTCAAACCTTGGCAGCTCAAGAAACTCTGGCCAAGCTTGTCAGGATGAGAAGCAAGATATAGACTAGTTTTCTACTTCTGTCGTTACTTAGTTTCCCATTTGGAAACAAATCAAATTATATTGTTTAACATTCTGTAGAAGTGGAAACTCAGTTTTTGTTAACAGGGTTTATCAAAGTTAGTTGTACAATTAGCAATTTTCCCATTAAACTTCCTCTTCAGTATATGATGTTCTTGTCAAAGATATATGCACATCGCAATGCAGTTTACTGTACAAGTACAAAATTAAGGCTAGTGTAAGTTTGTAATTAACATCTCTAATCAAATCCACTAGTTAAATTATTTTGATCAACTTAATCAACTTTTTTGACATCACGAAATGGACAAAAGAGATGTACTGCTACAAAAAGATGGCAAATTTTGCTATGGAAAAATAACTTTCATTTCTGTTTATACTTTGAACTGTCGCCTTAATCCGTTTCATCTCTGTTTTCTGTTTGACCTAATCATTGGATTACACTATAACATTAATTAAAAAAAAAAAAAAACAAAGAAAGAAAGAAAAGCAGTACAATAATTAGTACTAGAACAAAGTTGGAAAAAAAAAAATTTCCAATAAGATCATTCGATTACAAGTAATTCGGCAACACTGATTTAATTACAAGTCACACTTTGATTATTCTATAACTGTGTTCCAACAAATACATGTTTGAAGTTCTCTCACGGGTCTCAAATCTTGTTACAAACAAAATCACTTCAACAAAAAATAAAGAAAGAAATGAATTTGCAAACACTAGCAACTGGAAGGGAAAACTTCCAAATCATAGAGAGAGGAAGAAAAGAATGATTTCTTTTATCCAAACAAGAAAATCAAGAAAGAAAGAAACTTGAAAACAAAAGGAGAGATCTTGAAAATCAGTTTTTGAAACAAATTATACTAAACTAAACTAAACCGTGTTATCATGCGGATTAGTTTGGTTCAATCGGTTTGGCGGTATTTATGATGCGGCATTCGGTTGGATGAGATTGGCCGACGTGGCTTCATTCTCATTGAGATAGAAGCCCTCGGGATTCATCAAAACCCCGTGAAGGCCGCAGACCGCCACCCCGACCCCAGTACCGATCACCAAATTCCGGCCAATGCTGGAGAACCAAGCGGTGGCGATGGTTACGAGGACGAGACCGAGCAGCAGTGCCCGATCGCTTATGTGGTAGCCCGACACTACCAGAGGATCTTCTCTAAAGAAGTACAGCACCAGCCACAAGGCCACCACGCCCACCGCTGCCAAGAGCGCCACGGGGGCGCCGATGAGGGAGACGGCGCCACCGACCGCCGTGATGTAGGCGTAATTGACGCGGAACCGCCTGAAGTTCTTGCGGAGTCGGTCGAGGGCGTCAGAGAGGGAGTGGGGGCGGTCGACGGCGCCACCGCCGGCGCCGAGGAATTCCGGCCAGATACGGCGGAGGGCGGCGGCGGCAGAGAGGTTGTGGAGGGATCTTGAGATGACGTCAGCCGGGGAGATGGGAATAGTGGTGTATTGGGATTGGTTACGATCTTCACCTGATCTCATCTTCTTCTTCTTCTTGTAATGAAATTAGAACCAAATTAAAGGAAAAAAAAAAAAAAAAAAAAAAAGTTAGATGAAAAACATGATTCGAAGGTGATGGGCAATAATGTGAAGAAAGTAGTAGTGATTGATGATGTTTGGTTTGTGAGAATGGAGTTGAAAATATTTGAATTGGTTTGAATGAAAATATTTGAATTGGTTTGAATGAAAATATTTTAAGGCCACCAGTCATGGGGATTGGTTTGGTGTGTACTTAATTAGGATTGTGAGAATAGAGAAAGAATGATTTCTGAAGAATTGGTATTCTGTATTTCTCATTAGTGATTGTACAAACAGTATTAGCTATATATAGCTTGATCAATATCTAACTAATCTAAACTACAACCACTTAGAATCTTACACGTGTATACCAGCTCTAACAAGCTCTAACAACATTCTAACTCACTAACTGATTAACTTCCCTAATAGTCTCCCTCAAACTCAATGTGGAAAGACTTTTAACATTGAGTTTGAACCGGAAATCTGGAAACTTTGAGCTGGAGATGGGTTTTGTAAGAACATCTGCTGCCTGATCCAAAGCAGGAACATGCTTGACTTCAATCAACTTCTGAATCACCTTGTCTCTAACAAAGTACAAATCAAGTTCGACATGTTTTGTTCTTGCATGCAAAACAGGATTGACAGCAAGCTGAACAGTACTGAGATTATCACACCAAACTACAGGCCTGCCCTGCACCTCAACTCGAAGCTCCTGCAGTAAAGACATTAACCAAGTGATTTCAGCCACTACATTTGCTAAGCTCCTATACTCTGCCTCCGTGGAAGACTTGGACACAGTATGTTGCTTCTTTGAACTCCAAGAGACAATATTTGATCCCAAATAAACACAATAACCTGAGGTAGACCTTCTGTCATCAGGATCGGAAGCCCAGTCAGCATCACAGAAGGCCACCAAATCAAGTTTACTCGACTGCTGCAAATGAAGACCAAAATCGAGTGTACCTTTCAAGTACCGGAGAATTCGTTTGACAGCCTGCCAATGAGACTCAAGAGGTCTATGCATAAACTGACACACCCGATTAACTGAGTATGACAATTCAGGCCTAATGATGGTAACATATTGGAGGGCACCAACAACACTCCTGTACAAGTGAGGATCCGAGACATCATTACTACCAAAGCCTAAAAGCCTCAAACCCGTTGTCATAGGAGTCCCAGTAGCCTTGGCGTTCTGCATTTTAGCCTTGCACAGCAAGTCTGTAACATACTTCTTTTGAGAAAGATGAATTCCATCACTAGTATGAGTAACTTGAATCCCCAAGAAGTAATCCACAGCACCCATATCCTTCAAAGCAAAAAGAGCATGTAATTGCACAATGAGTTGTTGAACCACATCACTGTTGCTGCCAGTAAGTAAAATATCATCCACGTACACTAGGACAAAAGTCGTATGCCGTGAATGAAACCGCATGAACAAGGACTGATCCGACTTGGAGGAAACAAAACCCAAAGTGAGAAGAGCATTCCTTAACTTATCAAACCAGGCCCTAGAAGCTTGTTTCAGTCCATAAAGAGACTTGTGAAGGCGGCAAACAAAGTGAGGATTTGCAGGATCTTCAAATCCTTGTGGTTGAGTCATATAAACCTCCTCAAGTAAATCACCATTTAAAAAGGCATTGTTGATATCCAACTGCCTTATATGCCAACCTCTAGCCAGAGCAATAGTAAGAACTACCCGAATAGTTGAAGGCTTCACAACCGGACTAAAGGTTTCATTGAAGTCAAATCCAGCCACTTAATTAAAGTCTTTGGCTACTAATCGAGCTTTATATTTATTAATAGTGCCATCAAAGTTTTCCTTCACTTTGAACACCCACTTACTGCCAATTGGCTTTCTTCCTACAGGTAGAGGAACCAAGGACCAAGTGCCATTACGGAGAAGAGCCAGAAACTCATCATTCATAGCTGCCCTTCACTGTGTTTGAGCTAAGGCATCCGAGACTGATGTGGGCTCTAGAGTGGCAGCATAAGCCTTGGGCTTGAAAATACCTCTCTTGGACCGAGTAATCATGGAATGAGCGTTGGCTGAAACTGGAGCCAAAGAGGACACTGCAGGCTGCACAGAGGAGACAGGAACTTCGGACCCTGCACAAGGAATATTAGTAACAGTAGAGGGAATTCCATGAGAAACACCTTGATCAGTCATGACATGAGGTGATGGTGGAATGGAAGATGAAGAAGGAATAGGAAGAGAGACAGGGGAAGGAGGTTGAGAAGTAGACAACGGAGGAAGAGAGGAATGAGAGCATGTAGAGGAAAAAACTAGAGGGATAGTGGGAATGAACGGAGATGCCACAGAGGATACTGGACTGGAAGTAGAGGTAGAAATGACACATTTTGAAAAAGGAAAAACCAGTTCATCAAAAATGACATCTCGACAAATGTAAATTCTACCATTTTTGTCTAAACACTTGAAGCCTTTTTGGTTAAGACTATAACCAAGGAACGTGCATTCAGAAGACCGAAAGTTCAGTTTATGTTTGTTGTAAGGACGAAGATAAGGGAAGCAAGCACAACCAAAGACTTTGAGCATAGAAAAATCAGGAAGAGTGTGAAACAACACTTGAAGTGGATTCTGAAAATGTAGAACAGAGTTAGGAAGACGATTGTAAAGGTAAACAGCTGTTCTAAAAGCTTCATCCCAGTATTTTAAAGGTACAGATGAATGAGCAAGCAAGGTCAAGCCATTCTCAACAATATGACGGTGTTTTCTCTCCGCCACACCATTTTGTTCATGCACATGAGGACAAGAAACACGATGAACAATACCATGGGATGCAAGCAAGGTTGTGAAAGCTCTATATTCACCTCCCCAATCAGATTGAATGGATTTAATTTTAAAGTTTAGTTGCAATTCAACCTGATTTTTGAAGTTAACAAAAGTTTGAAAAGCATCAGATTTATTTCTGAGCATATAAATCCATGTATACCGAGAGAAAGAATCTATAAAGCTGATATAATACCTATAACCACTAGAAGATTGAATAGGGGCTGGTCCCCACAAATCAGAATGCACAAGTTGTAAAGGCTCAGTGTAAACCGTAGTAGACAAAGAAAAAGGAGATTTGTGAATTTTTCCAAGACAACAAGCTGAACAAACTGAAGTGAGATTTTTATTACGATGAGAAACATTACAAGTATTAAGAACTGTGTTTACAATTTTGGCTGAGGGATGCCCCGGTCTATTATGCCACAGTTCAAAAACTGAACAATTAAAAGAAGAAGAAGATGGATGTACATCAACAGTATGAGCAAATAAGCTTGATGAGGACTGTTCACACGGTGGAGATGAGAACTGAGTGGAAGAGGTTGACAACAGTGGAGAGGGAGAAGTTGGTGGTTGAGTGGTGAGATTGACTTGACTTTGATCAAACACATAGAGTCCATTTTTAAGATTCTCCTCCAGAAGCACAATTTTGGTAACCTGATCTTTGACAAAACATTTGTGAGAATGGAATTCAAAGAAAACATTATTGTCATGAGCAAATTTAGAGACACTCAAGAGATTTTTTGTAATATCTGGAACATGTAAGAGATGCTGTAAAGAAAGAATCTTTGAGGTATAAGGAGAACAAAAATTTGACTGACCAATATGTTTAATAGAAAGACCTTTACCATTGCCAATATAAACTTGTTCAGGCCCAAAATAGTCATTCATCTGCCTTAGATTGGAGGCGTCAGAGGTGACATGGTTGGAAGCCCCTGAATCTGGATACCAACTGGAATCAGTGATCGTTTCTGTTGTAGCAGTCAGTGCTTGAGCTGGCTTGATTCCTGGGTCTAGAAATGGATTAAAGACTGTTGCAACATTTGTTGTGGAGGTATGCGAGGGTCTGTGACTATTCTGAAATTGAGAGGGTCCCTGGAAGGAATGGTCAAATCTATAGTAACAATCCAGCACTATATGACCAGTCCGTCCACAGAGTTGACATTGAGGTTTATTTGAGGTCCAAAAACGTCCTGAACCACGACCTCGGCCCCGACCTGGAAAACGACCTCCACGACTATTCTGAAAGCCATTTTGAAAGACATTTGGAGAAGAGGAGTGATGTTGAACATGTCCTCGGCCAAAGTTCGTGCCAAAAGAACTATGAGCATTTTGATTCGAAAAAAATTGCTTTTTGAAACCTTGATTGGATTGTGAAACGAAAGAAGAAGATGAAGCCAAATTGGCTTGTGCAGAGTCAAGGGACTTGTGATTTTTCTCTATTCGAGACTCTTGAGAAAGAAGAAGAGACTCAATTTCCTCAACAACAAAATCATCATTTCTAGCCTCAATCGCAAGAATAAATGTATCATACTCAGAAGACAATCCTTCAAAAATAGCATCTAAATGTTCTTTGTGAGAAAAAGGATGGCCAACAAGACGTAACATACTTACACATTGACGAATCTGCAGAAGATAGTCATTCATAGTCGAAGAATCTTTCCTTATGTTCTTGAGCTTAGTTTTATACTGAGAGATTTTTGCACGGATCTGAGCGGCATAGTAGAGATTGAGAGTATGCCATACCTGAGAGGAGGTTTCGCAATCTACAACCCGAGAAAGAACTGCTTCAGTCATCGAAGATAGAAGCCAGGACACCAACAATTGATCCTGTTGTTCCCAGTCTAAGAAATCTGGATTTATCCGGCCAATCGCCTTATCTTCGGCAGAAAGAAATTTCAAAGGAGATATACTCGATTCTGAAATGAAATCGAGAAGTTTGTGCCCTCGGATCGTCGAAAGAGCCAGTTTCCTCCACGGAAGAAAGTTGGATTGATCCAGCCGAACAGAAATTGGATGATTGAAAGAAATTAGGGCAAATTTGGTCGATGAACTCGAAGTTTCTTCCATGGCGGTTAGAGAATTTTTTTCCTCACCAGAATCGACGTGCTCTGATACCATGTGAGAATAGAGAAAGAATGATTTCTGAAGAATTGGTATTCTGTATTTCTCATTAGTGATTGTACAAACAGTATTAGCTATATATAGCTTGATCAATATCTAACTAATCTAAACTACAACCACTTAGAATCTTATACGTGTATACCAGCTCTAACAAACTCTAACAACATTCTAACTCACTAACTGATTAACTTCCCTAATAAGGATTAGCTGAGAAAAGCTTTATACTTTATAATAATAATTAAGAGTAATCTAACAAATATATTTTAAAAGTGTATGATCAAAATTTTATCTTTCTTAATTTATAATTTTTTTAAATAATTAATTAAATTAATAAAAAAATATTTATCCACTTTTAAAATAAATTCTCCGTTTTTTCAATAATATTTTGACGCTAGTTCATCATCATCATTATCTTCTTCTGGTTGGTTTGTAAGTGGGCCCACCAATTTACTTGTTTACTTATTTATAGTTGGTGGGTCCCTTCTCATTTGTGGCTCTTCGAATTGGCCCTACAAACCCATGTTGCCCGTCCTGATCCTCACATCTTTCCTTTCCTTTTTTTTTTTTAGGGAAAAGATTTTTTTTTTATTATTTTTAATAAGGGAAAGAAAAGGTGATCCTCACATCTCTCTTTAAAATTTTTATTTATAAAATGATTACGAATAATTATTTTATTAAATAATCATTTTAATATATTTCTCTTATTTCTTAAGGAAAAAAACCTACTTTCTGCGGCAGTATTCATTAGAGGAGAATCTTGTGAGTTGGGTAGAAAAATTCGAGTACTAATATTCCTTTTAACCAGCCAAAAAAAGAAAAAAGTACTAACATTACTATATAGTTTTGAAACTCAGAATCAAACAAAAGAAAAAAAAAGTAAATATAATAATATAACATGGTGAATATTATAATTAAAATTCTATCAAATAAGATACGTGTATTTTTATTATATTTCTCTACCTGATTATGTAATTCTCTTTTATTATATTTCAAATTACAGAAAGCACAACAAACAAATATGTGATAATCTGAGGTTGAGACCTAATAAAACGAGTAGGACTGAAATCTCGAACCAAATCAAGACAGATTGATAATGTGGAGAATTCTAGGAGTTGTTCTTTTCTAACAAAATTTAGAAAAAATTTAAACTCAAGTTATAATTTTATTTAAGTTAATGTTCTTTTGTAAAATTTGAGTTTCAAATCGAGTTTTAAATCGAGTTTAGAGCTAAACTTGAATTCAAGTTTTCTCTTCAACTCGAGTTTAAGTTTTCTCTTCAACTCGAGTTCATAAACTCAAACTCAAGTTAATGAACAGTATTTTTTATTTTTAAAAATGTCATAACTTTTTCATTTTAATTCTGATTAAGACATTCACAATAAAAAGACGAATAAAATCTCACTCATTAAGTTTTTATTAAAATAATATCTAAATATAAATTTAAATTTTAACTCATTTAAATATAAACTCAAATAAATTCTTAATTTAAATTATAATTTAAATATATACATTTAAATATAAACTCAAATTATAATTTTAACTCAATTTAAAATCATTCTAATTCAAAAATGTAAAAGAATAACCCCCGGCATCTCACAACATCCTTTGAAACTAAAGAGGAGTGACCGGTCAATTGCACTAATGTTGTTCTTTTTTCTTTTCAGAAAAATTGAAATGGAGATTCCAATACGTCCACATTTGTACAGAGGATATGGTAAATTTTATTATTATATTTGGTTTCAATAATAATAGTTGTTTTGAAAATGGGAGGGCAAGAATAAAGTGGGACTAAGTGGACAAGGGATGGGCCCACAAGTGGCAGAGAGGACAAGAGCATTTTGTCCTTGAAAAAGAGTGCATGAGGTGATGTGTCCATCTTTCACCATGCAAAATTTACACCACCCACGTTCAAAATTCCCATTATATTCCTTAATCCTCCTTTTTTAATTTAATCACTACACTAGTACTACTATTTATATGACTTTCTCGCTCCCCTTTAATCATGGTAATATTGGTAAACTAAACAACAGCAAACGTTTAATTAATAACTAATTATTCATTTTTTCTTGAGGAAAAAAATAAAATGCAGCAAAATATGGATGGAGATTTGAGTGCCATAATACAAAATTACCAATAAGCCCTCCAAGCCTATAAAGGATAGGAAAGAGTACAAAATTTATACAAGTAATAATACTACAACGGCCATTTTTTTTTCTCCTCTCTTCCTCTCGTCGCTTGTCATCGTACGTACCCAACACTGACCTCTCTCTCTCTCTCTCTCTCTCTCTCTCTCTCCGTGAATTCAAGTTAAAATGTGATATTTTTTGATAATTTTTTACCGTAGTAAAAAAAGTTAAATGCGACATTTTTTTAGAATTTTTTACTATAAAAATTTGAAATTAAAAATTTAAATCGGTAAAATGAACGAGACCTACATAATATAATATGCTAGATTCTCATATGCTCCGCCAAATAAACGTCACCATGCAAAGACTAAAACTAAGCGTGTATATATGTGTGTGTGTGGCTTTCTTTTGCATATTTTGCATTCAAGCTAGTTATCGCATGAGCAAGGAAAAAACATACATGCATTTATACATGCGTGTGTGTATATATGTATGTACATGTATATACATATTTTAGGGTTTAGCGTGTATTTATGTGGGTAGAGAGACTTGGGAGTCTCGTAAATTATTGGTGTTTTTGGGTGGTGGTAATGATTAGGGGGTCATATATATTGATCAATAATATTCATGCATCATGGCCAGTGTACTATTTGATTATTTCCATTCTATAAAAGCATACATCAATTCGTCTTCTGCTCCAGAATCTAATATATATTATTGGTGGAGCCTCTCCTATTCCTTTATAGCTTTACCTTTAGTACTATTTGTTATTATTATTATACCACAAATAATATTAATACATATATATATCTCACTACAAATTATAGATATTCATCTCAGTATATCCCAATTGTTTGACTAACTATTAATTTTGCTTTTCCCATTTTAGAATACACAAGTCTTAGCTTACTATGAAGGCGTTTAATATTACTAATACAAATACACACATACAATATACTATAACTTCTCTATATCACATGTTTCTTAATTCCCATGTATAATCCGTATATATTATCAAATTTCTCTGGCAATTGCAAGTGAAAAATATCACAATTAGGAGTATCACTTTCTTGCACACATCACATTATATATATCATATGTACAATTTTCAACTCCAACATCACCAATATTCTTAAATACCCTTCTGGTATTGTGTAATTCTTTTTTTTTTTTTTTTTTTCCCCTTTGGTTTTTTTTTATTTTTTTTTTTTTTTTTTTTTTTTTTTTTACCAGCATCAGATTACATAGAAATTAAATCAGCATATAAAAGCAATATTCTATGATGATTTTATCCTACGACATATTTTTCCTCGACACTCAATAACTTCTATGCTCAGCCTCAATAAGCAAATATCTAACATAAAATAAACGGCATAGAAGGTCAAGATGAATTCCAGATATCACATTTATCATAATCAAGCCTAGAACATCTCATGGTAATTCACTTTTAGTCTTTTAGATAAGAGAAAAAATTAAAAAAAATAAAGGTCAAAACAACTGAAGAGTGCTATCTGATATTCTAAAACAAAAATATAAAACATAAACTATAATTTTTTTTTTCAAAATCTAGAAGTACTTGACTCTATCCATTGTTATAAGCCAAGTTTTTGTTGTCAACTATTATTCATGATTTGCTTATACATGAGTCTCAGGGTAGCTTAAAGCATGCCCAAACCAGAAGAAGCCTCAAAAACTGCATTGTAAGTTTGACCCAACACATTTCAGTACAGTGAGGATATATTTATACCAATTCTATCCCAGATCTTAGGCCCTATCTCTGATCCTGAACCAACCATTATTCCACCTTACTAAGGCTTTCCTCCAGGCAGTTTGCGGCGAAAACGATACTAATTCTACAACAGGCTTTGACAATTATACAGTGTCGATCGCGGATGCCCTCCTCTTGAAGACGGCGAGTTTGTATTCGCTGTAAAAGGACTTTGCTGAAGCACAATGCCAGAGCCACCGCCCCCATTCCACCTGACAGGACTTGCGTTGTTCGCTCGCCTGGAGGATGGGGAAGCATGAAAACCGGTGTTTTGCAGCACCAAAGGTGAGTGATGATCAGGAACGATGGATTGGTGATCCTGATCTGACTGACAAGTACCATAGAAAGGAGTTGCATACTTTGGGTCATTATTATAACCCGGAATCACAATCCCCGCCGATGAAGCTACATGGCCCTCCCACCCAAATCCACCTCCCGAGTATTTCGCAACTTCATGACCAGCCAAATCAGCTTCATTTTCAGAGGCGTCATCTATGGTGATGATCTCTTTGGTAGGGTAATTGGCTGCTGCCGGAGAAAGTACATTCTGGTGATGGTGGGGGGGGGCAGGAATGGTTAAAGGACCTCCAATTGGCGATCTGTGCCTAGACTTTTTTGCCGTGGCATTGTTGTTGTGATCTGCTGTGAACTCACAAAGCTCCATAGGCGTTACGAAACCACCACAGCCCCCACCGCGCGTGTGCTGATTAGGATATGAACTCAGCACTCCCTGACAAAACACCTGTGATGATGGCCTCGGAAACGGAGTACTTGTCCTTGTATCTACAACACACTGCCTCTCTGCATCATAATGTGTATTACCATCTTGGCCTAAATTTACTGAACCTTGCTGGAAGTTAGGATGGAATGAATGGTGGTAGACTTGGTTCTGAGAGACCCCGGAAAATGGAGGGAACTGTGAAGTTATTAGATGGTTGAATTGGCCGGGTTGTGGCTGGGACTGCCCATGTGGCATGGATTCATCTTGATCTCTATTCACAACCATCAAATTCTTGCCCATCAACCTCAGTACGGAATTGGAAGAAGACGGGCTGACCGAGTCACCGCGGCCAGAAAATTTCACTCCAGCACTATCCCCAGAGCCCCTCGAAATATTCTCACTGGCAGGGGACTTAATCGTGACAGGAAGAACCACTTTTTCAGGTCTTGGAGAGAACATGTCTGGCGGCCTTGCTTCCGTATTTTTGGGCCTAATAGTGTTGAGATTGCAGCCAGTTTCCTTTTCCACAGGTGGCGAAACAACTGAAGATGAAGCCATTGCACGTCTCTTCAGTAGCGGTGATTCTTGATAGTTTAAGATGACACGCTGAGAAGCTCTCTCCTTCCTTTGGCAACAGCAAGGCTCATTATGATCACTTTTGATGAAGCCGAGAGGTAGCTTATTATTGCCTTTAAGTTTCTCTTTATCAAACACAAGTCTATCCGACGCCTGAGGTAGTAGTACAGCCGCATTTTCTATTGAAGAATCGACACTACCACCTGAGAGGCTCGACCTTATATTGTGATCTCGAACTGTGTGATCAGGTCCTACTACAGATGGTACTGATGGTTCAGAATTCTTGAGATCATATCTGTTGCCTGTGGAATTAGAGACAGTTGATGTAGCAGAAACAGGTGAATCCGACGAATCCCCATCAACGAAATCATGCTGATCCTGAGAAGATTGAACACGGCTTGTGGTTAATGACGAGTTCCCTTGAAAATCTTCTGACCCCATGTCCCTTGGACTTGGTAAGAACGACCCCGGTGGTCCTGGAATAGGTATTGGATCAACATCCGGAAAGGAGCTTCCTTGCCCAACTTCAGAATCCAATTCCTCCATGCCATTTCCCAATTGATCACCATAAAACATCTCTTGTCCACCAACAAAACCCGCTCCACTTGGACCCGTCAGTACTTCAACATCGCATAGAGGCCCCTTATATCGGAGAGGGCTGGAGTGAATCCGGGAATGATTATCAAGTTCAACAGAGTTGTGTGAACTCATAATATGATCCTCCGCAACAACTATTTTAGAAGATGGTTGAGGGACAATCTCATCCATGGAGTGTTGGAAATCTTCACAAACGCGTTCTCCATCATCATCATTTTTGTCCGAAACAGAAGAATGGATGTTATTGACCTCCTTATCCGCATAATATTGAGATAGTAACTGTGAACTCCCTGATACCATAGTTTCCTTTCTTCGAGAGATACCTAAGACTCCTATGTTCCGTCTCATTTCCAATCCATTGCTCCTGCAAAGAGAGGTTTCATCATTGACATCTTCTCTTCCATATCGACTTGCAGCAGCATTGTGATTGAAATCAAATGGTTCATGATCAGCCTCCGAATCCCACGGTAATACCTCGTCATCCATCACTGCTGTTAAATGGGACTGAGACCTTCTAAGGGGGGCTGATGAACAAATATCTTTTCTTGCTGAAGAAATCTTCATGGATTTTGATCTGGAGGCATGGCAGCTTCTGGAGGGTTTTGTACTAATGATAGTAGTAGGCTCCAAATTAGGGGGTTTTGGCATGTGATAATCATTCACAGAGGCTCTTTCTTTTCTCAATTGACGCGCATTTCGCTTCATTGGTGTAAGGGATCTCCTCTCAACAACATTGCCTCTAATCTTGGCCCCAGGTGCTTGCTCCTCCTCCTTGTGACTAGCCTGAGGCTCATCATAAAATATGTTTGAAACTGGATTACTACCTGATAAATCCGCATGCTCTTCCTCGCAATTTTTTGGGCCCGAAGTAGGACTGTGGCCACGTGATTGATCACTCTCAACCCTCGAGTTCTCAGTTGATACATGCCATTTGGGATATTGCACATGCTGGTGGCTAACTTTATTGTTCAACTTCTTTGCAAGACCAGTTCTTTTGGAGCACACCCACTGTCTTAAAGTTCCGGTATTAGAGGGATTATTAATATTTACCTGCTTCTGCGTGTTATACCGCTCCTTCTCGGAGCTCGCTTCAGCTCCATGTTTTTTCCCTTGAACCCCAGAAATCTGTTTTCCAAAACAATTTCATAACCATAAATGGCTTAATGAATGCTGGTATTAAATTTAACAAGTCTAGAACCAAAAAAAAAAGTTTGGAAAGTAGTATTTTTGCACTGTTTAAAGAAAAACTTATGACAACACATGGATTATAGATGACTACAAAATTATACTGCTATAAATATAATGCTTCTCTAGCTTGGAAAATATACTTGGGGTTCATTAACACATGCACTAAATAAAAGAAAAAATGGAACTGAGTCTAACATAAGTTTAACGTCTTATAACATAAAAAGCACTTGATTCTCTCTTCTTGTTTTTAATGGGTGGCCAAAATAAAAATAAAAAATAAAAAATAAAAAATAAAAACAATATATGGCATCAAATCAAAGGGGTATGAGAAAAAATAGCTGGAGAGGAATATGCTTAAATTTTGTAGTGATCTCCGCAGAAGAGTTAGAACTAATGGGTGGAGAACCTTTTTGTTTTTATATTGAAGCCAAACAAATGATGAAGAAAGAAAGTGAATGAGAAGCAAAAGAACAAAATCAAAGTTGAAAGCAAGAATAGATGGCGTACCTGAGAAGAATTACGAGCCTTTGATGAGAGTAATTTCTTGCTTTGAGCAAGCTTAACCTTAAAGTACTTGTTGAATTTCGATGCTCGGCGCTTTTTCTTTCTGGCTGAGAGGAACTTGCTTCCTTTGCCTCCTCCTTTGAAAGGTTTCCTGGGGCGAAGATGCTCTTCTATAACCTTTGAAACTGAAGGAGAATTGTCATTATCGGATTTTGATAGTATCCGAAGTTTGATCCCATGGGCATCGATGTAGACCGCGCCTACATGATCAGCAGTACTAATAGTACGGTGATGATCATGAGGAGGCGGTGCTGGTTGTTTTGATGCCTGATGATCTTCTTCCACCGGTGTCATCTCACTCTCTTCATAAAAAGGAAAGCTCGAAACCGCAGCCCAGTTCGAGCCATTCCTTCTATCAAGATCCTCCAATGTGCAACGCTTTGCCGTGACGTAGATATCCACCATCAGTCTTGTCTTCCTCGGCTTGATTCTATACCTCGTCAGTTTCGAGTCCAAGCTCCACTTGGGAGCTGACGACTCAGTAGAGAGGCACTGATCTATGTGAGCATTCAAGGTGGTGTTCGACGACGACGAGAAGGTCTTACAAACAGGGCAAATCTTGGAGGCCATTGTCTCGGATTGGTTGGTACAATTCGAAGCAATATCTTCCGCGGAGTTCCTATCAGAATTGGAACCGAATTTCACTATCAACCTGCACCTCTTGCCTGAGTTTCGGGGCGCGCTTTGAGTGCTACTCTTGTGTCCGGTGACGGCAACACGAGGTCCAGCGGGCTCGGGTTCAACTTGATCAACCGAGGCCGCTTCTAAAGAAGTACTAGTAGTAGTGGTGGTGGTATCAGTTTGAAGTGGTGAGCTAGTTGACCTGGTAATCACTACTGACTCTTCTATGATCTCTGATTGGTCATAAACACTTGTAGTAGTAGTAGTAGTAGTAGTAGTAGTTGAGGAAGGAAAGCAACTTTCCCCACTAGTCTTACATGAAGCGACTTTCTGAACTAGATGATCATGATCATAAACGGGACTTGTTATTGTGTGAACCGGAGCATCATGGTATTGCTGATCAGCTAACTTCTTGTTAGCGTTGTTGAGTTGATCATCATGAAAATGATTATCATCAGCATCCCCGTCATTAATAATGTTGGGTATGTTTTGATCATCATCATTATTATTATTATTATCAACCGTACGTGATGTGTTGTTGTAAATAAAGGCTTGATTCCTTACTGCATCAAGAGGCTGAAATGGTGGTAACACATCCTTCACGCCATGTTTCAGACAAAACTGCAGATTCTTCAGAGAGAAAGGCCAGTTTCTCTTGATATCTTTGCTTCGAGCAGTGAAAACATAATCTCTGCAACACAATTAATAACAATAACGATAATAAAAATGTTATTATGATCACTAGTTCAAACAAGAAACCATATATATTGAGCATCTTCAGCTATACATATATATATATATATATAATTGTAATAATTAAATTTAGAGACAATTGGGAAGGAAAAAATAAATAAATAAAAAAAGAAGGGTTGGCTAGAAAAGTCTTTTATTTCATGTTAGATGTTAGATATAACAATATAGCTCTAAACTCAAGGTCAAGGAAAGGAAAAAGGAATTTGTATATGGACCATGGGGGAATTAAATAAAAAAGGAAAAGACAGACATATATATATTATGAACAGTGAAGAAACAGCCAAGATATATGCCCCAAGTGAGAAAGAGATTTCTGATCATGATCTAGTGTACTGAGAAAATATCTCCTAGTACAGACTGCCACAACAATTATCACAATTCCCACCACATGATGATCTAGACATGAAATCACAGGCAACCTTTTGGGGACAAGAAGAAGAAGAATAGACAAAGAAACTGATGATTTAGCAATAAAAAATCTAAAACTTTGGACCTCATGGGGATTAATTAACAACATCAAGTGTGAACTATGACACCACAAGAAGAAGATGAGAGTCCCCCAAAAAAGGCTAAAATTGAGTGAGAGATCACAATCACAAGGTTCATGAGTTTAGGCCCCATATTAATTGTTGGTTTAGAGAGAAAGAGAGCAAGGAACAAAATAGCTAGAACAACAACACCACCACCACCACCACCACCACCACCATGGTCTAATTCTGGATCTGCAGCCACAACTAAGTTATTTTAGAAGAGGAGATTGAGAAGCAACAAAGTCAGAATATTTATTAATTTTGGGTTAAAATGGTTAAAAAAGGAAAAATTAGGAAACTAACATGAAATTATTGGAAAGAAGTAGTAGTACTTTGGAAAAACTTTGGAAAAACAAGGAATACCATTATATATATATATATATATAGAAGATAATTATTACCTGATGGAGAATTTGGGAAGAGGAGGAGGCAGATCTAGCTCATGGTTTTTGGTGTTACTAGTAGGATTGATGGTCAGATTTTGATGATCTGGTGATGTTGGTGGAGAGTTTTCAACGGATAACATCTGATGATGAAATGAACAATCTTCTCTTCTTGTGCTGCTGCTGTTTTCCCAACAGTAGTCACAAAAATTACCTGATAATGATAATGATCTGATGATGATGATCCGATTCTTCTTTTTCTTCTATTTCTGCTCCTCCGTCTTATCTTTAACTTAGACTTCAGCATATATATATATATATGTATATATATTGATGTATATATACACAAACAACAACAATCACACAGACTTTTTCTCACTCCCAATAAATTAGACAAGTGATTGAGAACCCCACAAGTACAGCTAGCTAGCGCACTAGCTCAAACAAGTCATGAGATGAAATATTGAAACCGCTTGAATCTTCTTCATCCATGGATGGGCCAAGCTATTTCCTGCAATAGAAAAAAGAAGAATAAGAAAGATGAAATTTTGAGAAACACCCAGAAGAATTAAGACTTCTCTGGAAATGAAAAGCGTTATTTTATGTGATGGGAATGAGTGGATTTAAAGCATCGATCGGCTAGTTGAATCTTGCATAAAACTCACACGGATCAAGCAAAGAACAAAATACCCACAAAGCTAAAAGCAATATTTGTTTGTGTTTATGGAGATTGAAGCTGAAATCATGATATTTTATGTGAGCAAACCCAGAAAAGAAGTGCTCAAGACAGAGACTTGAGGCAACAAAATCCACAACCAGAGACCACAAAAATCAAAATCTTATCTGGGATTTTTGAAAGAGAAAAGAACCCAAAGAAGAGATGCAAAAGAAATCACACATGGAGAGGACGACTGACGAGCAAATCATAAGAGATGCTGATAAGATGAAAAGATCCAAATCGAAACAAGAATACGGTGAGAGAGGAAAAAAAAAGCCCAAATCTTTTTGGTTATTGGTCGTGCAAGTGAACAGTCAAAGAGTAGTGATAGAGCAGAAGAATCTTTTGAACCCAGAAAAAAAAAAATTCAAACTTGATAGTGAAAAATAACAAGGAAGATCATGAAATCACACGAGAATAAACGAATTAGCTGAAAAATCAAAGAAAGAAGACGGAGAAGAAGGAGAAGAAGAAATGGGAAAGTTACCCTTATGAAAAAGAGCAGAGAAATTGTTGCTTGTTTTTATGGAAGAGAAAAGAAAAAAAAAAAAAAAAAAAAAAAAAAAAAAATTTTGTTGCAGAAGAAACAAACCTTTGAAGGGTGTTGAGTATGGAGTTGGAATTGGAATTGGAGATGGAAGAAAAAGAGGGCTTTGATTTTGAAGACTAAATAATAATAATAATAATAAAGAAAAAGAAGAAAGAGGAGGAAAAGTAATAATAAGAGACTATTATATATAATATATATATCTACTATGTATGTATAGTTGTAGTAATAAGAGGAGAGAAGAAATAAAGAGAGAGAGAGCAGCACCACCCACTCATACATCAAAAGGGCATCAGGTTCTCTTCACTCCAAAAAGTAAGTTACTACCATTAATAACCCTACTTAATAATTATAAAATACTTTAATTACCTTATGGCTCTCCTCAACTCTATCTCTATGATGATTATCTGTTAAATGAATGTTACGTTCGTTTATTTTACTAATTTAAATTTAAAATTTAAAATTTTTATAATAAAAATATTTTTAAAAATAATCACGTTTAATTTTTTATTATAATAATAAATTTTTACATAAAATTATATTTTAACTCTGAATTAAAAATTAAAATTAGGAAACTAAACAAACTTATTACGGATGTATGTATGCGTCAATACAAATAAACAAACAAACAAAAGTCTTTCTCACTCCTCATTAAGCTTCTAGAGAGAGAAAGAGAGAGACACAAACAAAACTAGTGTCTACTAGTTTCAAGGGAAAAAAAAAAAACAAAACTAGTGTCTAGTAGTCTAGTCTTTAGGCCGAGGTAGAATTAGGCGTGTCCGTGTGTATTTTTGTGCTTTTTTTTAAATATAATAGACGTGTATATAATTTAACGAAAATCTATTAAAATCACGTTAAAATGAGAGATTATGCAAAACAGATAAGGTTTGATGTAAATTAAATAATTAAACTAACAGATTTTTACTTTTTACGATAGAGATGTTTGTGGCCTTTTTTAATAGATATAATAATGTAAAAAGTAATATTTTTTAATTTAATTTTTGGAACAAAATTGTTCTACTCATTTCATACCCGCAGCTAAATTTAAATTGTATAATCAGATTCTCAAAATAAATGGAGAATCAGGGGAAAAAAATCTGAGAAATAAAAAATATAGAAATGAATAAAGCTGCCCTATCGTATACCTACCCTACGACGCCCTCAAAAAAAATAATAATAATAAATCTGGCATTAGTTTAATGCCTGATTTTTTTGATTTTATCAAATGGAGAGAGAGACTTTTGAGAGAGAGAGAGAGAGAGAGAGAAGAGAGAGAGAGAGAGAGAGAGAGAGAGAGAGGGGTGGTGAATAATAATAATAGTGAATGGTCATGGAGGCTTTTCCTCTAATGTCGGTTTTAGTCTTTTCTCTCTCTACCCACATGTTGCTCCACTACACGACAAAATCTTCCTATTCATAAACACTTATCACCATTCGCCCACTTTCCATATTCAAAACCCAAATGAACCCCAATTACCAAATACCAACCGAAACGTCTCAGTTTGATACTTTGTGTTATATTAAAATATAAATTTAGTATTTTTTAATATTTAAAAAAAATATTTTAATATTTTGAGACAATTTTTTTAAGACAAAATAAAATTCAAATATATAAAAATACTTTTAGAAAAATCTTAAACCTACAATTAAAATTTTTACTTTATATTTGGGACAGATGAAGTTTGGTATTTGGTGACAGGTTTAAGATTTTTAAAATGTTTTTTTTTTATATTTAATAATAAAGTTAATTTATTTTTTTCATATTTCAAAAAATTATCCGAGGTATCAAAAGAATATTTTCTAAAAAGTCGAAGTATCAGTATGAAATTATTAAAAAAAATTGTACTAAATTTATATTTCAATACGATGCACAGGATACTAAAATAAAATTTTTTGAATATAAATATAAATAGTGTACTAAATGTGTATATATCAATATATGTAATATACATAAGAAGTTAAAGGATTTTATAAGAAGAATTTTTTTAGATAGCAGCCGTCATTTTTCATTATCGACAGAGTAACCACATTGTATGTTTCTAAAATTTTAGATTCGATGTGAACAAATTTTTCTCCCTTTTTGTGCTACTATTTCTTTATAAGTGCCCTTCTCTTAAGGCTAGATCCAGTAACAGCGCTATGCTAGCTTTCGGATTCATGACTCTAGAAATGGAACTATGAGATGTGCAGGAGCTCTGATATATATATATATATATATCCCTATGCTTTTCAAGTTATATATATGGTGCTGTTCTCTTTTGAGGGAGTGCAGGCCAAGGTTATAGTTGATGGTAACTACGCGTGGACTCACACGCCGATGTAGGGTGTGTTGACTCCTCATTTCTCTGCAATTTCTAATCTCTTTGGTGGCATGGGTCAATTTGTCTTCTGTGGTTCTTCTCGTGTTGTTAGGGTTTTGTTTTCATTTTATAGTAGATGATGTGTTGAATAATAATGATGTTGTTTACGCCTTGTATGTTCTATGTTTTAGTTTTTTTTTTTTTTTTTTCAATACTGTATAAATAGAGGTGGTCTTCCCAACTTTTAAGTTTACTTGTGGTCTACCATATATGTGTCATGGTAGTGTTTTTGTCATGTTGGACTCATATTTATGTGGAGTTGGTGGTCATCTTAGTGCTACAAGTCACTTGTTCTCGATCGATCGAATGGCTCCATCAATTGTGGAGATCTTGTCAAAATTAGCTTTATGTGTGCTTGGTGTGCCAAGAAAATTTTCTGTTGTCATCTCCATATGTATGTCCTTCTTCCCGAATCTCATCAAATTTTACGAATAGATTTGATTTCAGTTAAGAGTTTTGTCTCGTATACCACGAGGTTAGTCATATTGATGTTTGTGTGTTTTATGTAATTGAATACAATTCCTCTTTTCTTTTTTCTTTTTTTCTTTTTTTTTAAAGTTACCATCTGATTTAAATATCACATTAAAAGATGCACAAAATTAACATAATCTAACATATCTCACGATTGAAAATAGTCTAATTGATAATATATTTTTTCATACCCTACCAAAACTTGATAGAAAAAAATACAATATGAGTATTGTGGAGTTTTGATTGTTAGTGTATGTTAGACAAATTTAACTAAATCTTACGAGGATTGGTATTCTAAATACAACAACAATGCCCTTAAAAAAAGGCTCTATCCAAATAACAAGAGAGTGCTTTTTTTTTTTTTTTCAACGTACCAAATATTCTCCTAAAAGAATTTGCCCTTCCATTTTGGTTATAATTCCATACTAAATTAATTTTTTTTAACACTAATATGTTGCCTACAACTTATAAACTACGCTGTCCTCCTGATCTATTATTATTATTGATTATTGATCACTTCAACAATGAGTTTAACTACTACTTACTATACGAGATTCCAAATCCAAATGGTAAATAGTGATTTTCCAATTCTCTATCCTATTATATTATTCATTCCCCATTCTGATTATTATGACTTGTTGACTGTTTATCTTAGTTTTTATGATAATGTTCCCTACTTTTTGTCTTTTTGACCCTGACCTATCACTTACCTTCGCTCCCAATCCCTCATCTTTAAATTTATGTCATACATGTACATGTGTATCTCGTGAACCTCTAAATTTGTAATATAAATTAAATTTAAACAAGCACATATACATTCAGTTTGTTGAATCATTTCATACATAGATGTTAAAGGTCTGTTTGTTTCATGCGTTTAAACTCATAATTTTAATTTTATTATAGTATTTTTCTCTCATAAAAAATTTAAAATTTAAATGTTAAAATAAAAAATTATTAGTTTAAATGCATAAAATAAAGGGGCCCTATATTTTTAACAGGATTAGTTCTTTTGTTAGTTTATAGAGCACGTACATATTTAGTTTATTGACTAACGGTCAAAAATAATTTTAATATGATTATGTTAACGGTAGAAATTTAAGCTTGACGAAAAAGGAAAAACAATTGTTTAGAAAAAAAAAAAAAAAAGACTATATCTGCGCTGCTAAACTCAGAAGCGAAGTAATGAAGAATTAATTATCTCACAAGGAAAATAATTAAGAATTCCTTCAAATATATATTAATCAAAAACATATTTCTCACGGACTCACCAATAGATTACAAAATAATGTGATAATTCTCTATAAGCTAGCTGCTCAAACTTTCATAATTAATCTCTCTTATAGATGCAAATCCAAGAAAACAATGGTGTTTGTCCATTTTTTAAAGCTTGATTCTATAGCTCAATTCAATGGACTTGATATTTATAACACATGCCAATTAATCAACAATAAATTTAAATTATTTGTGAATAATAAGGTGCAGCAAGACAAACCTTCCTAGAAAATAATAATAATAACAATAATAATAATAATAATAACAATAATAATAATAATAATAATAATAATAATAATAATAATAATAATATAATAATAATAATAATAATAATAATAATAATAAAAGGCTTACTGCCTCATGCTTTTTGTTTGTGTTAAATTTTAAAGCCTAATTATTACCTTAATGATTATTGCTTTATGTAGAGGAATTCACGTTGGTAAGTTCTCGTGGGGATTTCATACTTGTAAAATTCAGTGGCCTTAAATTCATTACAAAAGGGATATTGTTTTATGGGTTATCGGAGACTGAAAGATCTATGTATGGAGTTAATTATTGCAATAGTTGTCGCAACAAATCCTAGAACACTATTAATTAATTAAGTTAGAGAGTAAGAATTAATTAGTCCCATTAATAATTTACTGAAAGTAGTAAATAAATGACGTAGATAATTTTTTTTTACTACTTTAAAAGCAGTAAACAAATGAGCCCTTAATGATTACAAACACAAATCGAATTTATACAAATAAAAACTCTCTCTTTAAATCAACTGATGGTTTTGTTCAGCGAGTATCACGTGTCTTTAATGTTTGCAGTGTTAAACTCCTTTCAATTCGCGGCGTCTCGAAGACACTAAATTTTTCTCCTAAAGAACATCAGTTCTTGTTCCAAAAAAAAACACAATAAAGAGGTCTCGACCGCTTAAGGATTTAGACAGATAAAGTAATTTTTTTGTGTGTAAAGGCACATCCAGTCACGTATAAGCTTATGTTTTCTTTAAGATAAAACTTGTGCTTTTTAATTTTTGAAGTTAATTCAAGG